TAGGTTGGAGGCCATCCCTAGTAGGTTCAGGGCCATCGCTAGTAGGTCCGAAGCCATCGTTAGTAGGTTCGAGGCCATCGCTAGTAGGTTGGAGGCCCTATAGTAGGTTGGATGCCATCGCTAGTAGGTTGGAGGCCATCCCTAGTAGGTTCAGGGCCATCGCTAGTAGGTCCGAAGCCATCGTTAGTATGTTCGAGGCCATCGCTAGCAGGTTCGAGGACATCGCTGGTGGGTTGGAGGCCATGGCTATTAAAGGTTGGAGGCCATGACTAGTAGGTTCGAGGACATCGCTATTAAAGGTTGGAGGCCAGCGCTAGTAGGTTCAGGGCCATCGCTAGTAGTTTGGAGGCCATCGTTAGTAGGTTCGAGGCCATCGCTAGTTGGTTGGAGGCCATCACTAGTAGGTTCGAGGCCATCCCTATTAAAGGTTGGAGGCCATGACTAGTGAGTTCGAGGACATCGCTAGCAGGTTCGGCGCCATCGCTAGTAGGTTGGAGGCCATCTAGTAGGTTCGAGGCCATCGCTAGTAGGTTGGAGGCCATTGCTAGTAGGTTCGAGGCCATCGCTAGTGGGTTGGAGGCCATCGCTAGTAGGTTGGAGGCCATGACTAGTAGGTTCGAGGCCATCGCTAGTGGGTTGGAGGCCATCGCTATGAAAGGTTGGAATGACTAGTAGGCTGGAGGCCATCGCTAGTAGGTTGGAGGCAATGAAAAGTAGGTTGGAGGCCATCGCTATTAGGTTGGAGGCCATCGCTATTAGGTTGGAGGCCATCCCTAGTAGGTTGGAGGCCATCGCTATTAGGCTGAAGGCCATCGCTAGTAGGTTGGAGGCCATCGCTATTAGGTTGGAGGCCATGACTAGTAAGTCGGAGGCCATCGCTATTAGGTTGGAGGCCATCGCTATTAAAGGTTGGAGGCCATCGCTAGTAGGTTCCAGGCCATCGCTAGTGGGTTGGAGGCCATCGCTATTAAAGCCATCCCTAGTAGGTTGGAGGCCATCGCTATTAGGTTGAAGGCCATCGCTAGTAGTAGGTTGGAGGCCATCGCTATTAGGTTGGAGGCCATGACTAGTAGGTTTCAGGCCATCGCTATTAGGTTGGAGGCCATCGCTATTAAAGGTTGGAGGCCATCGCTAGGAGGTTCGAGGCCATCACTAGTGGGTGGAGGCCATCGCTATTAAAGGTTGGAGGCCATCGCTAGGAGGTTCGAGGCCATCACTAGTGGGTGGAGGCCATCGCTATTAGGTTGGAGGCCATCGCTAGTGTTTTGGGCCATCGCTATAAGGTTGGAGGCCATCGCTAGTGGGTTGGAGGCCATCGCTATTAAAGGTTGGAGGCCATGACTAGTAGGTTCGAGGCCATCGCTATTAGGTTGGAGGCCGTCGCTATTAAAGGTTGGAGGCCATGACTAGTAGGTTGGAGGCCATCGCTATTGGGTTGGAGGTCGTCGCTTTTCAAGGTTGGAGGCCATCGCTAGTAGGTTGGAGGCCGTCACTAGTAGGTTGGAGGCCATCGCAACTAGGTTTGTGGCCATCGCTAGTGGGTTGGAGGCCATCGCTATTAAAGGTTGGAGGCCATCGCTAGTAGGTTGGAGGCCATCGCTAGTAGGTTGGAGGCCATCGCTAGTAGGTTGGAGGCCATCGCTAGTAGGCTGGAGGCCATCGCCATTAAAGGTTGGAGGCCATGACTAGTAGGTTCGAGGCCATCGCTAGTGGGTTGGAGGCCATCGCTATTAAAGGTTGGAGGCCATGACTAGTAGGTTGAAGGCTATCGCTATATTAGATTGGAGGCCATCGCTGCTAGGTTCGTGGCCATCGCTAGTGGGTTGGAGGCCATCGCTATTAAAGGTTGGAGGCCATCGCTAGTAGGTTGGAGGCCATCGCTAGTAGGTTGGAGGCCATCGCTATTAGGTTGGAGGCCATCGCTGTTAGGTTGGAGGCCATCGCTGCTAGGTTCGTGGCCATCGCTAGTGGGTTGGAGGCCATCGCTATTAAAGGTTGGAGGCCATTGCTATTAGGTTGGAGGCCATTGCTATTAGGTTGGAGGCCATCGCTAGTAGGTTGGAGGCCATCGCTAGTAGGTTGGAGGCCATCGCTATTAAAAGGTTGGAGGCCATCGCTAGTAGGTTGGAGGCCATCGCTATTAGGTTGGAGGCCATCGCTAGTAGGTTGGAGGCAATGAAAAGTAGGTTGGAGGCCATCGCTATTAGGTTGGAGGCCATGACTAGTAGGTTGGAGGCCATGGCTATTGGGGTGGAGGCCATCGCTAGTAGGTTGGAGGCCATCGCTATTATATAGGTTGGAGGCTATGGCTATTACTTTTTCGCTTGCTTCCAAGCACGAAGCAGCAGAAATCCCTGCACTGTGCGTGCCAGGACCTTGGAGTCGGAACAGAAACGTGTACTGCACATGAGGTCAGTATATCACCTCAAACTCAGGAGCCAACAGCAAAAATAGACTTGCAAAACACTATGAACAAGGAAGTCTAGAACCATACCAAAGAATCCAACCTGATGCTACAGTCCTGGACCCAGCTAGCAAACAAGACCAAAATGCAAGTCAACTTCAAAGCTCAAGCACCTGACCAAAGGTTGACGTTCGGCCACCTGTTCCTTGCGTCCGCTTGCGTCCTGGCTCCATCAACTGTGAGCTGGCAGCAAGTGAAAGCTGAACTCATGAACGCAGCATCCCGCTCTCCTTCCCGGCATTTGCTTCACCCTCTTTCCTGCCAGGTGCACCAGTAATTTGTTTGTCGATTCAACGGGAATGCCTCCTCAACCCAAGGACTGCGCTGACTGAACCATCCGTGTCCCAATGTTGTCCCACTGTTGAGGTGGCTTCCACTCGTGCCCCTGTTTTTAAATCAGGGTGCCACCACTTTCATTTTGCAACCCTAGGTACTAGGTACAGTAGCTCCTCAGGCGAGCATGCGGCGAGGATGCCCTGTTTTTTGTGAGTGGCGCATGGCTTTCTTGCCTCAGATCGATAAAACGGCAGGTGTTGTGAAAGAGGATCACACCAAAACAAATTTGTCAATTCATTGACCTGTCGGCTCTCAAATTCACAAAGAAGGCGAAAGTCTGGGGTTGCCACGCCATCTTCAAGTCAACTCTTTGGCTTAATGAGTCCAAGCTTTTTGTCTCAGTAATCAATACAGTATCTCTACCTCCTTTTGTTTCTGTTTTGCAATGCCTTCACGTTGTTGACGCGTGGCTAGTCCTTCATCTCTTGTGGTGGTGTCACATGAGTATTGATGATGTTTGTTCAAGCTAAGCCTACACCTGAAGTTTGAACGGCAATAAGGAAAGTGGATCGGCAAATTCACTGACAGAACGCTCCTACTCCTTGGAGCGTTCGGCGCCCCCCTTGTGCAAAAGAATCTCCAAACTCATCTGGTGGAGAAACATCATGGTTGAATCGAGCACAGGCTTATATTCTATATATTCTAGGTATGCATTGTTTTCTTCTTGTTTGTTACGATCATGCAGAGACCCGGGGCGGTGAAGTCCAAAACGCTCAAAAACTGGCAAGCCGAAAGTGGAATTGAAAGACCATCTGAGCTTTGATTCTGGCCATGCAGCCCAGAATTAGGACCTGAGGCTGTGCATTGGTAACTGTAACGCTACTACCGCCACAACTACCACTACCAATACTCACTCAAGCGACTACCAACACTACCAATACCAGTACAAATAAACCTGCGATGGCGACGACGACGGCAACAACAACAACTACTACTACTACTACTCCTCCTGCTGCTACTGCTACTGCTACTAACAAGTGCGTTTTCAACGCAATGAACCAAAAAAGAATTACTTGGGAGGTGGTCTATTTCCAGGATTTCCAAACAAGTTGCATTGCCATAATCATTTTATACTATATAGGTGGTCACCTTTTATGTTGAAACTATTTTGACCACTTTGACCTTCACATGAGCATTGTTTTGAAACTCACACACCACCCACCTGACTGAAATAATTGGAAGCCGTAATTATGCTGCAGATACTATTTTGGAAGGTCACCCCCACCTCCAAGTAATTTTCCAAGGCATGGGGTACGTTTTTTGTGATCGCGTTTTTCTGCAGCAGAAAACATAGCGATTTGCGAGGATTTCTAGGCCCTCCGTTTTCGTCCGGGAGGGCCTCCAAGCCTCCGCCCCTGTGTCCCTGCGTTTCGAAAATGTGTCCGTGCGGCGCATTCTGGCACATGTCCTAAAGTCGAGGTGATGATGAAGAACACGAAGAGCGGAAGAACGATTCTGCAGCTGCTGAGTGTTTCTATGCCTACGAACCCTCTGCCAAGCACAGGCACAAGGCAACAAAAAAACACTGTATAGAAGCTGCGCTCAACCTACCAAGAAGAAAAGGGTCACGCAGAGCAGCAAGGGCAGATTTCTCGATTTCTGACCAAATCTGGCTGACGGTGTGCGAGGAAAGAAAAGATCCCTTCCTTGAAGCCGACACCCTTGTAGTTGAAACATGTTGAAACCATGACAGAGTTTGAGGGATGGCACTGGCAGTACACCACTTCCTGTTGTCCATGAGGACGGGAGGGTGATGAGCTGGAAGATGCGGACATGAGAACTGTCAAGGAGTGGATGTGTGCAAATCTCTTTTCACCAAAGCAGGTGGATGCGAGATTTCAGAAGCCTCAAGCAATTCTTCCACCAAGCCCTGCTGAACAAAGCAGTGCTCAAAGTCACGCAATCGTGCAGGTTGAACCAAAGAGCGGACACAAGAGCACGTAAAGCATCTGTGGATGAGCTAAAGGAGAAAGACAGGAACATCTGCAGGAATAGATCTTACTCCGGAAGGCGAAGCACAAAAACTGGTATATACGTGTCATGTGGGACAGGTGTAGCTGAAGGCAAGGAATGTTCATCCTTGTGCATCTAAACCTCGGTACAAGTGAGCAACTGGTTTCCCTGGAAGCATGCCAGGAGGCAGTTTGAGTTCAAGGGTGTCTTGGGTGTAGTGGCCGCCTGGCAAGAAATTTTTGAGAACTGAAGCCTGAAGTTGCTTGAAAGATTCGTTGGCACCTGTGGAACTGCAAGATCCCAAATCAGCGGGTGCAAGTATGAAGGACAGTCACAGAAAATGGCAACCACTTTCGACAGGGCAATGTTTAAGGCAAAGGTTAAAATGAAGAAGAGGATGGCCTGCACCGCTGTCTTCCAAAAAGTTTTAATGCAGAGCTTGTGCGTGACATGAGCAAAAAACAAAGGAAATGGGACCGGTCCTTCATCGCAGTTTAGACCTTGTGACAACACTGAGCGACAGGAAGGGACAGGGTCGGCCACAACAAAAATTGTCACCAATGGCACAGTACTCATAGAGGGAGATGTACTCAAAAGCAAAAATACCCCTTCCAAGCTCCAAAAGGACCTGCAGGCTGGAGCTTGGTTTGATGCTTGGGTCCTCTGACCCCCGTTCATCCATATACACCACTTCAAACTGAAGTCTGTCTAAGGGTGTGGGGCAGATAATCTCACCCGCGCGATGCCATTGCGTCGAGTGCGGAAAGTAGTCGCGCGATGTATCACAAGGCTTTTCAAGTTACTCGCAGTGAATCGTCACGGCTTCTCTCTTGAGCCAAACTGTCCCGGTGGAACATTTTGGTGACTTTTGTGAACATAAAACTTGCAACCGCAAGCTAAATGCAAGTGTGAATATATATATATATATATATTATATATATATATGGATGTAGGTGTAGGAAGGGTAGGCAAACACTATCAGTTAGGGAATTCTGGGGTTTGTTCCTTCACGGACTGCCAAATATGTGGGAAGCGAAGTATCAGCACAACAGCCCTTGGCGTCAGGGCAGCGTAGCACAGCAAAATGATACTACAAAATGATACAAAATGATGCTCTCTGCTGGTGGGCTGAATTGGCGTGATGAGCCTTGGGCCAGGCGGTGTTCGAATGGGGCAGCAGGGCCTGGGCCTGAAGTCGGATCTATTTTACAATTGGTGTTCACACGTTTGTGGAAATGTCGACTAGTACTTTCCTGATGATGTTTGGTCACAATAAGTACGAATACTCTGTGACGGCTCATTGTTGCGTGCCAAACCACAGCGCCAAAAATTAGACTTGGCAGGAAGGATCGCCATGTGGAACAGGTCAGCGTGGCATGATACCCCAGTGTCCTGAAACCTAGATAAAGACTCTGAACGAAGAGTGCCAATATTTAGAGCGTTCTTTGAAGTATAGGGCTTCTAGCATTCTCAAGAAGACCCAAACGGTTGGCCTTTTCTTTTATTGTTTCAATTGCTCGCCTTGAGTATGAAAAAACACTGACAAGGTGAAAAAATTGAAGTTCTGCTAGTCTTCTTGTATGTGGATCATCTGGCCTTTGAGACAGATGCCTTGGACATGTCAGTCTCGACTTGATGTTCTTTGAGGCCGTTTCATTTGACCAGAATAATGTGTGAGCAATCCAAGACCGAGAGGTCCCAGGAAGGTGGACGTTCTCCAAGCGAAGGAAAACAAAGCCGGCAAATCAGTCTGAGGCTGTTTTCCAATGATTCTCCGGTGCTTTCACAATGTCATTAGCCGATGTGCTCCAACCTATCCATAGTCATGCTTGGCACAACCAGGTATTGAAGCCTTGAGTTGGCTATGCTGAGCCAACTCGGAGCATTATCAATTCCATTTCAATACCCGCAAGTCGCACACGTTGATTAAACCTGCTGATTAAAACAATGCCAAGTCTGCTGCTGCTTAAACATTGATCGCACTTTCATGACATAAACAAAAACGTTGCAAATGCAGGCTCGAAACAGCAGCCGGCATCCAGCCCCTCGACTGGATTGAAACTGCTAAATCCATTATAGAAACCTAAGCATCTTGAAGCTCAAGTTGAGAAGCCTTGAGCAAAGGTCCTGCGAGCGAGCAATTTCTGGTGAAACCCATGGAAACTTTGTGAAATGCATGGGGGGAGTACTGCACGTATTTGCAGTGCTCTAGGAGTTGCATCAGCACACACTTCGGACTGTGAGCATTGTGGTTTGCAAAAACGCATGAGTAAATAGGCTGAGAGGGACCCCAGACTGCTCATCGTTCCCAGTAGTCGCACGAACTGAAACTTCCTGGTACCCGCGGACACGTTTTGCTTTATACTATATACACTTTGCGGATCAAACTGTTCTCATTGGCATTACACAGGGTTGCATTTCAAGCTAAAACAGCACGGTTTCTATCCGATGTGGCGGACAAAAAAAGCTGGAGTTGGAAGGGATGCCTCAAAACCCTTGATGTTCTGCATCTTCCTCCTCGTTCCATTTAGTTTTGGAGCCTTCTCTCGTCAAGGCGACGAATGCACCATGTTGACCACACAAATATGAGTATACACTATACACACGCATGCGTTTCTTTTGATTCTTTTTAAGGGCTTGTGTGTGCAAATGCCGGGCGGGTGGACGGTTTTGTCGATTCCTCGAGATATGCAAGCTTTATGCATGCAAATGCATAGAATACACCCATTTTCGGCAACAAAAAACGGCCCGTAGCTCACTTTGACCGTACACATCGACAAACACTCAATTCACTCAAGGAAGGACGTCCATTCGTCCAGAGGTTACGTGGTCGTGCGCCAGGCGTTGTGTGGCGTGCCCCTGACTTCGCATTCTGACGACTCATTCCCATTCCGTGAGGACGCACTGCACATTGTGGTTTAAATAGTAGACCTGGTCTGGTTCCATATTCCAGATAACATTTGTTTGGTGTTCTCGCAGCTTGTGAGTCTTTCTGTATTCCTTGATAATCTTCAGTTTCAAGCTAGTCGAGCATGATCACTGGTCACAATGGCATGTGTCGCCTGTCTTTCATTTGTCTTTGCATTGCATCCTTCTGCTTTAATCGAGGGATGGCACACTATGTATATCCTTGTCTTCCAGTTTGGTAATGGCCTCCAGTGGTTGGACACGAAGCTAGCGTTGAACAATTCGCTGCCCAAAAAGAAAGAACAACTGACACTTCCCTAATCTAGCGGTCATACTTGCTAAACATTTGCACAAACAAGGGTATTGGATGGTATTGGATGGTATTGGTATCTGCTTAGGCACTGACACCGACATCTTACAGCACCTGTCTCTCACAGCCCTTGGAGCTCCTCACAGCTCCAGTCCGATGCACGCTTCGTCTGGAAGACGCACCGATGAACACCAAAGTTTGGTACGATATAAATGAAACATTGTGCCTAGAGACATCTTCACACCAAACTGCGCCTTCCAAGCCCAAGGGTCACCTCTGGTTCAGCAACTTGCTGGTGAGCTCACAATTCCCAAGTTCTGCGCCTGAAGCCGCCGCTCCAGCCCTGGCGATAAGAACGCAAGAAGCTTTTGGAGCCGCTTCTGCCTTCTGACCGTTCTGACCCGGCTTCGTTTTATCCGACTTGTATCATCTCTATCCGACTTTATCCATCTCTCCTGGCCTGTACACCTTGTGCACCCTGTGCACTGAGCCCAGCCCTTGGATCGATCATGCGGCAACGGAGCCAGTCACCAATAGGAGTGGGGAAAGTGACCAGGTTCACCAAAAAATATCTGTATAAAGTCTTCCTTGCATCAAAAGCAGGCTCAACAACAGATCCAATAGATCCTCTCGGCACTCTGCGGGGCATAGCCACATCCTGCCGCCTCGAGCACACACCGATGAAAGGTCTACTTTTCAGAAACATAACTGCAAAGTCTGAGTCCAAAGCCGGAGGAAAGCCACAGGACCCGGCCTTGGCCGCTAGATAACGACAGTGGAGGAGGATATGGATAATGGTAAGACAAACAGTGAAGTAAATGCCAGCACCGCCATTGCTAGCCATTAGCCATACACATGGCAAACAACTGGCTCTACCTGAATCACTGTCTCGCAACCACTTACTTTCTCAGTGTCTTTGGTGGAATATTACTCAAGCCCTAAACCTTGATAAGCTTGCCATAGGCACAATCAAGTTTGCAAGTGTGCAGGTGCATTCAAACAACAGTCGGCTGCTCCAGTTTCACATTCGGCGTGCTTTCTCACAGGACCCGCACTGGTGCCCCAATTCCGAAGTCATCTCCACTTGGCCCCCATTGTGCGTCAGCCTTAGAAATCGCATCAACCTGCAAAACCTTCGAAGACATAGACTCCTTTGAAAACATCTTGAGACTTGGGCCGGTCCCAGGCCAAAGCCACCCTGGGAGGCTCAGGGGAAGGTATAGTACCAATGGCCCAACGGCGGATATTTGGGCACGTTTGCAGTCACTTTGGAAAAATGCGTCGACCCGAGAATCAAACACCAGAGCAACCAGCGCAGCCACTGCAGCCACCATAGCCTGGCCTTGGAGTTCTGGGCCATCCATGTGAAGCAAAGTCCAAAAAGTCAGCAAAGCTGAGGAGCTGCGGAACGGCCTAAGGCCGTTCCCCTACGGGAAAGTGAAATTAAAAGGAAAACATCTTGCTCCAGAAGCTTCATTCTCTGCACCCTGCCATCTAGGCGGCTGGGCATGTAGGCTGACGCGCCGCCATTAGCATAGGGATCGCCATTGGCGATGTTCAGCCTGAAGCAGAGTCCAGAATGCAAGCACCTTTTCTTGAAAGCACACTTGCCGTTAATTAAATAAACTCACTTCAACTTGAGGCTTGGCAGCAGGCGGGGCTTGGATGGTTGGGGGGCACTGCTGCAGCGCAGGCTGGTGCGCGTACTGTTGCGGGTGGCCACACGCCTTGGACCAGCTGGGCCCTATGCCTTGGCGTAATAAGCAATATTCCTCTGCCTTCTCTGGGTCACCAGCTCCGCATCCCTGAACGCCTTGCAAGCAACCTGCCATCGGCCTCAACAGAAGCAGGCGTCCGAAGCCCAATGCATTATTCTACATTTGTTTCGATGGCAGGCTTCAACTATGTAGAATGCAGATCCCCACAGCGCTACTCTCTGCTACTCTCTGATGCTCTCCTGCCTCTGGGGTTCCATGGGCTGAAGCGGCTGAAGGGGGGCCTGCACTATAAGTTGGACGGGACAGTGTTCATTCAGCGTTCATTGAGTGTTCATTGGTGTTCGTTGGTGGCACGAGTTGACAAAGAAAGAGAACCTGAGAACCGTTGGAGGCGCTTGGTCACTTGATGTTCTTGACCCCTAGCAAGTACAATGACTCACATCGCTTGTAAGTCACGGTCAACATCGGTCAACATGTTTTTGGCCCGTAAAGCTCCGGCCATTTTCACCACGTTGGAGTTCAGCTTCGTGGCAGGCACCCAACCTCAGCTAAACAGTAGAAGACACCCTGTTGTAGATCGGGAAAGAACTTGCTCAGCGCCTGCTCATCTTCAAAAAGAGTTCGTGCAGCATCACTTAATGTGCTCAATCAAACAGTTTTAGAGTTCTTGCGTGAAGGCCTTTTTTGTCATCAGCAAGTTTGAGAAAGACCTCAGAACTGCTTGAGACGAAATGCTGCCATTTTGCCAGTAGAACCTTCAATCGCTTCAATGCCTTGCAATGCTTACATTTGACGCCAAATCTTAGGTGGCGGCATCATTGGCAGAGGTTGTCACCCTCTCCGAGATGCTGACTCGCTGCCTGTGCTCTCACGTAGCAGAGGTTGTCTACCCTAGTAGGATATTTGCACTTTGAAACCTTCATGTCTGAAGGGTTGCATATTGCTGTGTGCCGAAGAGCACCACAAACCGTTGATATTCACACTGAGATCCCGAGCCGATATTTCAGCCGTTTGCCCTTGTTCTTGGTATTGGATCGAGTTGGTGTTTCTCGAATCTGTGCTCCATCCTGAGGTGAGCTGTACGCATTGAAGAGCGACACTCTGCTTGGAGCAAAAGAATGCAAGCCGTGTGAGTCTGACCTCGTGTTATTTGTCACGTGGCTAAATTACTCTCACCCGGAAGGACACCTTGTCATTGCAAACGTAGACCCACTGGTGGAGCTCTCGCACCACCAGGTCGCACGCAATCTGACAATCATAGAAACATAGCAAGAAGATCAAGAAGCAAAGGAAAAAGGAAAACCAATTGCAAACCTGAAAAGGACACACTGGAAAATCTACGGACCGGCACTCCATGCTTGGCACTTGACCAAGGATTGCACAGTAGTGTAAAGCAGGCCTTCTCTATCGGAAATGGGTTTTGAGAAGCAGAAGCCAAAACCGCAAAAGCAACTCAACGGGCTCACCCTTTGTTGTTGAAGAAAAACATCAACTACAAACGCCCATCCGGATTCACTGACGCTTGTCAGCCTTGCCACTGGGGTCATCCCTTGCGACCCAACCATCTGCTAGCCTGCCACTGCGGAAGCAGACCAAACTACAGTGCAAAAGCAACAGACTTCGTAGACTACAGTGCTACCGCAGTTCTACCGCAGTGCTACTGCTTGCAGACTTGAATTGAAATTGGCTATCTCCAAAGTGCTCCACTTCGCCTGTAGTAAGTTTGTCCAGCCGCCTGCAGCTGTTCCATTGCCTTCCACAACATTTTGCGACGTCTCAATTTGTTGGATGTCTTTCCGGACGGCACACACGGAATTAAGACCTTTCTTCCTTTCAGTGTATTCAGTGGACCCACATAATACCATCTGCGTGCCGGAGTAACGTCTGCAGGACAAAAGTAAGAAAAAGTGCCTGGCCTCCAGAAAGTCGCCGCAGCTCAGAGTTTTGCCCAGGTTTCGATTCCTGCATCTCTTGGTGGAACCGGGAGAAAAGAAGAGAAAGTGAAACAAACGGCTAAAAATATGCGCTCCAGGGCGCTCCACAAAAAGAATTATGGCATGCGTGCTCTTGCACTTCATGTGTTTGATCTTTTTATCGGTGCTCGACATGTTTTGACCTGTGTCAACAATCAACATAAAAGAGCACAAGGTTTGCTCACGCGTTGTGTCGCTCCCAGGAACTGGAACCATGAACCGCCCCCCCTCCGCACCTGCCAGGGCCCTGAAGGAGCTGCACTGAAGACTTGCTAACGACAGAGACCCAGCAAGGCCTTTGCAAAGGTCGCCACACACCGAACCAACCATATGCAAATAATGTGTGTTCACAAAATCTGTCAGGAAATTTCAGGAAAGATTGTGGCACCAAACGTGAACATAACAGTCACAAGAAGCTAGGAAACTTTCTCGTGGTTTCTGTGCTGCGTGCGTATAAGACTGTCATAAAGTCCCAGCCTTCCTCGATGTCTTGGGTCGTGAAACCCGGCCTCGCACAAAGGCATAACGCACAAAAACATGGCGCCAAAAGCGAGGAAACAAATCCTACAGCAGCCCAATACAACTGCTACCCAAAGTAACAGATCCCGTCCACCACATATGATATCCTGCGATTCTTAATCACGGGGGCATCGGTTGGGGCAAGTTCTCAAATCGTTGTAGGGTCGCGTTCGCATGTTCAAAACGAATTGCATTTCTCGGGAGTATTGACGGTTGCTCATTGTCGATTTGGAAGCGTATGTCATTTCACGTGTTTCTAGCTGAAGTCTGATAGCAGTCCTTGCCAACAGCACATCAACTTCAAATGCTAACATGATGGAGTAAACTTATGCACCTGAACAGATCGGAGTAGCCTCTACATTGGCGTCCAGGTCATGGGCAGGCCAGAGAATGGGTTCTATGATGCGCGACTGTGGGCTCCAAACATGACAGGAACAGCCTGCCTAGCCTGAAATTCGCACAGGACTGGCTCTCCTTGGTTGCTCCCTTTGATGCCGCAGTGCATCCTGACAGAAGCTTCATTTATGGTTGTCTGCGATCTTGGATTGAACTCAATGAACACCAACGCAAGAATACACCAAAGCTAGCATCCGCCTTTAAGTGAAATCATCTTGTGGCCTCAAATCTTGTCATATGTGGACCGACGTGTCTTTCCAAGGTCAAAAAGGTTCGAAGGAAACCGAAGGAAACCGACGGAAAATTGCAAACGCGCAACTAAATACGTGCAAATGCAAATGCTTGCAGGGTGGTTCGCTGAAGTTGGACCCTTCACCGCTAAGGCCTGGTATAACGACCCAACACATCCCAACACGTTGCAAGTTGAAAGTGCATAAAACGACATGTAAACTCTTTTTTTGTAAACCCCATTGCTCAAAAACTTTATCAGGCTCTCTCCCAAAACGACCCACCTCAGCTCTCCAAGCCAGCCCTCGATCTTCCGTTCATCTTCCACCTGGGGTGCTTGTGCTTGAAAAGCAAACCTTAAGCTTCACCAATTCCCTCCAAATGTGAAACAAATCGAGCCCTTACTGTACTTGTCTACACTCTAGACTGATCTGATGCTAGCATTCAAGAAATGCAATCTTGTCTGTGGAACCAGCGATAGTAGAATTCATACCCTGGCTCGATTTAACGTCTCCGTTCAGAATCCGAAAAGTCGGAAGGTCAAAAAAAGTTGAAAAAGTTTACCTTTTGCCTCCCGTTCTTGCACAAATGCCACGATCTCTCGGACCACAGAAGATCAAACTCAGATGTGAGGTTTTGCACTGCGTGCTTTGATAGTACCACCACACACCCAAGCATCCTAAAAATGTGTTTATCCATGTTTATCGTATTTTATCTTCATGTCTTGACCCAGCAACCCCCAGACATGGTGGCCAGCCTACAGCAAAACCATGACAACCACCCCATAACCACTGTTGCTCGATCAGCTACTCCATCATTTTTTGACCAAAATCAACTAGATTTGTCATTGGGATAGGGCACATATCGCAGTAAAAACATTGTCCAGGTTGTCTTCACTATACCTGAATTGAAGTGAGCCATGGAAGCAACCCTGAAATCACAAGAAAACCCACCAATGAATCTACTTTTGTTACGTTCATTAGGGCAGCGCAAAAGAATCCAGAAACTTCAAAATTCCAAGCACCCAACACCAAAAGGTGGAACCAAAAGAAACCCACACCATCACCACTACCTTTTGCCTTCTCGCCAAGGACACCCCAGGAACAGACCCAGATAAGACAATTGCAACGTCAAACATGTCTGGACAACCTGTACCAAGCACGCGTTTTCCGAACGCATAGCCAAGGATTCTAATTCAACGTGGGCCCATTGCAGAAACCTTCTGGAGGTGGTCATCGTTTGGCTGCACAGGTGCAGCGTGGTGTTTTGAAGGTGTTGAATGTTGCTGTGCCACAGGGAATTGCTCTTGAAGGGCTTCCTTCCAAGCTGTGTTTTCGGTTTTCGTGGCAAGTCTCAGCTAAAATTACAGTATGATATTTGATGATGTGGGTGAGTTGGGCAAGTGCCAAAACCATCCCCAAAACGCGTAGTATGGAGCGATCAAGTTGAAGAAACAAGGAGCAGAGAAAACAAACCAAAGCGATCTCGGATCACATCTTTTGTTTGCAAGCCGCTTAGTGTCGCTTGTGCTTTTGTTTGCCAAAACTCGTGTTGTAACAACGTCAGCATGTCGTCGAATCTGCACCTTGTAGTATCTTGCCCAAGTCTCCTTCTTGCGGTCTGTTGGCGATGGTAAAAGCACCTGCACCTTCACACGGCAAGTGGCCAAAAAAACACTCAAGCTGAAAGTAGACTATGGGTTAAGCTGAGCTGTTGTTGTTGTTGACATTGCTGTATGCCACTGGGTTCATTTATCTGTCTTCGGGCTGTGCTTGCCAAAGTCTCAAGACGAGAACACAAACAAAACTGTTTTGAAGGAAGGTCCACAACTCCCGTAGTTGGAGCACTGCATACTGGGTTGAACACCCTTGCTTCAATTTATGCCCTAGAAACTCTTAGATTGATCGTATAATCTGCGGTCTGGGGCTTTGCCAAACCTTACGAAGGATAGACACCACCATGCCAGCCAACCTTGACGCACACACTTCACATCTGCATCTCTTTAACAAGTTGCCGTCAATATGGACTAGTCAAGTACAAAACTCCAACTTCCTCAGAACCAGGCAATTGAGGCGCACCAGCCACTGCGGCAAATGTCATTGGCGCTGGAGACAGCATGACCTGACTGGCGACAACTTGACGAGTGGCGTCACATCAGTGGTTTCGTCATTCCAGGTCCTGATGTCGGGTCATCAAGAGGTACTCGAGCTTCCGCTACCTGCTAGCCTTTGTGATTCATAACGCTTCATAACCCCCTGGTAGCGTTCTTTCAACACTGCCCACCTTTAAATGCTTGGTCTATATATATATGTGTGTGTGTGTATATATATACATGTAAATGATGGGCGAACATGTGGGTTTTCTGTGGTGGGGCTGGAGGAACTTTTGAACAGCTTTTGGATCAACTTTATTCTCGATCATCTCCCTATAACAATTCCAGCTTTCAATTGATTCAATTCTGAGAAGTCGCAAAGGTTCCAAGTTCTGAGCCACACGACTGGTTTCTCCAAGCGTGGGTCTACTATCAGCTTCTGCTTCATATTTGGATCCTGAGGCCAAAGGTTTTGGGTTGATTGGTGAGTTGATGTAGGTCCTGCCAGTACCAAGGAAATTGCGAATCACATTACGAGGTTCCTAATGTTTTGTGCTGTTCACGTCACAAGTGAAAGCTGCTGCCGTCCTGCACGCCTTCTGTGTTCACTTCTGACACGTGCCGTTTAGAGGACCTTGCAAGCAGGACCTGTTTAATCTGCTGATTGGACTTCAAGCCCTCAAACCAACTGTTTTGGCTCACTTCTCCATCAGCCAGCCGCGGCCGTCCATGAGGCACAGCCTCAGAAGTCCGCAGCAGTGTGCGCAACGATATTTCCAGGTATATATCAACATGTATCCACCACATCACCACAGGTTTCCTCCAGGCAGCCACAGTTTCTGCCCCAACATCCCGCGCTCGCAAATCCTCAGCAGGAGCTGAAGTTGTTGCAGTGTTTGATTGACATTTCAGTTCAAACCTCAAAGCATGAACACATGAACAATGCATGCATTCGCGCACATCAAAGCATGCAGTCCTGATCAGCTCGCCGGGCTGTACTGCCTGGCCATTCAATCAAGAAGAACTTCAAGCACGCAAAGCAAAATATATATTTCCATTGACAACTAGCAGCTATGTGCTTGGCCCATCTAAACACGCCCAAGGTGTCCGGTGCACCAAAACATAGACATGCCCCCACAACACTACGCTCTGAGCTGCAAAAGGCGAAGGAGAGAGAGAGGGGAGGGGAGGGGAGGGGAGGGGGGGGGGGGGGGAGGAGGGGGGTGAAAGAGTGACTAGGGCGTACACGGTTGAGGTGCAGACCGCTAGTGTCTTTTATGCGCAGAGTCTTATCCTCTTAGCGTCTTGAGCCTTGTGGCAGTCAAGCATGGACACACTAGATAGGCCACTGGAGTGGAACCTGTACAAGTAGGCCTCTACATTTCAGCAGGCACAAATTCATGTCCACTCCTGCCTATTGCGTATGTCGCACACTATTTTTCTACCGTAAGGCTAAAACAGTCCAGCAAGCTCTAGTAAGCTTAAAAAGGAAACTACGGTGCCTTGTACTTACCCATTCCAGTGTTCGGTCACTCTAGAAAAGGTAATCTCAAGGTATACTAGATACAGTGAGAGAGCGATAGCTTACTCACCTCAAATACAAAGTCAAAGACAATGTATCTCGGCTGGAGACTGTATCGTTCACCGGCGAAGATACCATGTACCGGCGCTCAATAGCCCTTAAATAGCCAGAGCTTCAAAGAAACTTAAATTCGAAGGAAAGCGGCTTTCTTACACAGAGACCTGTAAAAGCAGTAAACGACACTCGCGTAACGAAAGAACTAAAAATTCAAGACCGCACAAATGTAATGAATTAAGATGCCTTGCAAAATGCAAGGAGCGTCTACTCTCGGTCCGAGGAATGGTATTGTCAAAAAGTGGTCTCGGCCGCTTTCATAAACTGCATCAAAAGGACTCTTACTCTCATTGACACCAAAAACAAAAATGAAGGAGACACCGCCAAATTTATGTACAGAACTTGCACTACAATTGCAAACTCATAAAATGACTTAATCATCAACCATGAATGGTTGTCCATTAGAGGTCATTTCATAAAGAGCGACTGTGGTAAATATCATCAGTTTTGAAAAACTGTCCATATCTACCTGCAGATAATATCTGTTTTGTAAAACTGTATTTATCTGCATGCTAAAGTGTAAAACTTCAGCCTGGCAACTTAAAGTCAAGCCTGGAAGCAAAGTATCAACTGTGATCAGAAGTATCTTCACTTCCTAGCTATCATTAAAAGTTAGCCTTTGCTCTGAGGTTATGCCGCTGCAGTCGATGGAGCTGCTTGATCTGAAGTTGGCGGCCTTCCTTTCCTTTTATTCTCTTTCTGTTTCTCCTTCCTCCGCAAGTTAGCATCTCGAAGAGTCTCTCCCGAGCGATAAAGTCTTCTGTCTCCAGATGAAAAGGAAGCTGGTCTGAGTGAAATAAACATTGGACCATGACTGTCATCGTCAGAGGGTTTGGAGCACATAATCTCCTGGTCAACCAAAGCAAAGTTCTCTGAAAAATTACAGATGAACTCCTTCGTGCTCACTGTGGAATTTGTATATTCCTCTTCACTCATCGAATGACCCCATTCAACAATGGTAGACAAACATGTATCGCCAAGCTTTGATCCCTGGTACACTTCTTTCTCTGCTGTAGAGTATTCTTCCCAGAGTTTCTCAAAGTAATCTTCACACTGCTTGAGAACAAGTGAAGATGAACTGTAAAATGTTCTGGGAATAGGTGCTTTGATACCAGGATCTGCTTTTACACGGGCTTCTGAAAACCTGCGGATCCAATGCTGCATGGTGCTGTAATAATAGTTAGCCATTGGTTGCCTTTTGTACCCAGACATTCTGTAGGCCAAACTATTTGCATCACCAGAAATGATGTCCACCTCATAAACAAAACACTCATAAAGCATCAGTGCTGTCTGTTCTCCTGTCAATCGATGGGCATCCACAGCACGGTGTGTGTCAACATGATAATTACAGACTCTGATGGTATGCATGTTCGCTCGAGTAAGTGGAACACGCTGGTCCTTAGGACCATAGTCCTCAAATTCAAAGTCTGCATCCTTGAAGTCCTGACGAGGCCTTGTTTCTCCAAAACAAATCTCATAGATAGCCCAAGCTACATCACGCTGTTGACAGTGACCAAGGTCTTGGTCATGTCCAGCAATGACCTTGATATAGCCATCTGGTGACAATCTAGCCATCACTGCAAGATTCTCCCAATCATTGAAACAAACTGTCCAATTCTTCTGCTCAATAAAATCCTTGGCAGGAACAAGGAGATGAGCTTCCTGGAGAATCACGACATGTGCACGCAAAAAGAAGAGCATATTGAAGAAAAGATTGTTTTCAAATTGCTCATATTGAAGTGACATGGCACTCTGCTTGCGTGGCTTCATTGCACGATCAAGTCCTTGGAGAAACTTTGGTGTAGTGTACTTCTGACCACGAACCATGTTGCCATAGTTCCAGGATAGAAAGGTCAAGGACTCTGAGCTGGCCAATAAGTTGGTTCCATATTGTTCTTCTATTTTACCCTTGAGGAACCTTTTGCACAGCTCTTCGTAGAAGGCGACATAGTCCCAACTGGGTCCCTTGGGACCATGGGATTCCAGTTCTCCTCTAAACTGTTCCTTTGACACCTCCAAATCTGCCCGAGCTTGTTCTGCCCTTTCAAGGGCCCTTTGATCGACCTGATACTTGTCATCCAAATAAACGATGCGATCATCATTGATGAAAAATCTCTTCAGGTCATGCTCGCGGCTGTTCCCATAACAATCAGGTGGAGGTACTGGACAGACATTTCGAATGGATCGAACAAAGTCGTTCTCGTTAATCCTTGACTGATAGTGAGGATGGGAAATCTCACCTTTTCTGAAACAAACATGGTTCAGCAATCTTGCGTGAGTTTCCCTGTAGCATTGTTGATAAAAGCCAATACCTGGATCTCCTGTAATCTCTCCAAGCAACCTCAAAGGTGAGGTATGCAACTCATAGGTATTGTCAGCGTCCACAGGATCTTTATCAGCAACTACTTCAGATGGAAAAGATTCTTGGATTTCAGCCTCCAATTTCTTCTCTCCATCATCCTCTCTGACCTCTTTTATCTTCTTCACCGCCTTCTTCTTCTCTTCTATGGTTGCATTATCCTGAACTTCTTCATGAAAATGAGGATCAGGAATTTTATTCAGGCGGCTTCTCTTAGATTTCCGCTGAACTGGAGTATCATCAAGGTTAGCATCCATCTCACCTGATGGTAAGTGCGATGCAGCTGAGTCCTCACCTATCTCTCTTGACAGAAAGTATGGTGCTGACTCCTCCTTGACTTCCTCCTGGTCCACTTCCATCTTTGCTTCCTCTTTTGCAAGTTCCACTGCAGGATCTTCTTCAGGAACTTCCTCTTCCATATCTTCATCTTCCATAAGTGTCATACTGCCAGTGTAGATTCCACCAGCGATAGTGGAGACTCTGGTGTAAGAATGAACTTCTTCACCTGCCTCAAAGGCTTGTTCTGCGACATCCTTGGTGAGCAAGTCCTCTATGAGGGTTTCCTCCACGGTTCTTGGAAGAGAGTCTGAGGTCTCAAAATAATCTGTCCTCTCTGAACTGAAAAACTCATTTGCCTTCTCATTGTCCTTCTTCTCCTTAAAAAGATGAGTAATCTCCACTGCTTCTCCCCGCAACACCTGATCACCTTCTCTATACTTGTTGACAATGGAGCGCCATACTGGCACGTTGTCATCATCAAAATCAAGCTCCATATCATCTGCCAGCAAGTTTGAGATGTTTTGAGCTGCCTGTTCTTCTTCTTCCTCACGTTCTCTGGCACGCTCCTCATTCTTCTGGATCTTGTAGACACCCTTCAGAATGTTTTGTAGTACCTTTAAGTTCAGCTTCGATGATGGCTCATACGTTCCTGAACTTACAGGTTCAACTACAACACGAGAGCAAGAAATCGCCTCCAAAAACTTGGAATTGTATTGGCGTTCAAACTCTTCCTTCTTGATCATCTCATACAAGGGATCAGAAACTGCAACACGCGCTTGAACATATTCACGAAGTTGATAGCATGCATGTTGCACAAATCTGCTGTTGGAGTTGTGAAGAAAACTCTCTAAATGATTCCGGTCACGGTCAATCAAATACCACACAACTCTTGCAGAAAAACGGAATTTCTTGAAGTTCATAGCAAAATGTGTATGATACTTCTCTGGATCCTCTTCTGCTTGTAGAGCGGCCTCTGAAGTCTTGTAAGCAGGAAGTTTTGTATGTGGATCCAAGATCATAAAATCTTCCCACAAGATCGAATGCTTAAGAACCCACCTGGGAAGCACCTTGATGAAAAAGTCACAAACAAGTTCAGACAAAAGGTGCGTGACACGACCAATCTCTTCCTCCTGCTTGAAGCGATAGTGCAATTTGGCAAATAAAGGAGTGTTAAATGCTTCCTCCACTGTGTTGCCAAAACTATCCCACTGAGGTTCTGGAATACCAAAGTTCCAACCCAGCAATTTGGGATCTCTGCACATATCTAAGAAACTCGCAAGTTCTGCAGAGTGAATGCCATGGTCTGTCAGAATTTCAGCCCAGCGACGTCCATTCTCCCAAGCACGGATGAAGAAAAACTGTTGATATCCAGTTTGTGCCAACTCCATCCACTGAGAAATTCCAGGTTCAAATTTTGGCGCATACGTCTTGGGGTCTTCCTCTGTTCCATAAACACTTGGACGTAGCAACTTGTACCTTCTACAAAAATATTCTCTCTGGTGTCTTGTCAACCTGTCCCAATCCCGCACCAGAATCACGTCTTCTCCAGTGCTCTGGAGTACACGTGTTCCTCGGCGATCATGGAGCGATACCATGCCAATGTCATATACCATCCATGGGTTGAGAATCAGGTTGTTGACATTCTGAATGAACCATGTCATCTCCCGCTCAGCAACATGAGCAGAGTCATCTTCTTCTTCTTGTTGAGGTTCGCCAGAAGTCCTTGCT